ATGACTTTTTTCGCTTTACAAAGCGCAGGCTGTCTGCGAATTGAGACGCAGCTTGCGTTTGTATCGGTCAATAGAGCGCTGGCTCGCTCTGCCGTATTTTTTTTTTTCTAGCAGTGATGACGACGGCGGCGGATGACGCATTAATCGCACGACACAACTAATCGATGATGAAATTCGTTGCCAACGCTTTTAAAATTCGATTTTTATCTATTTTATCGATTCGTTGTCGCAGCCCTAATATGAACCCTAACGACACCCTTAGCATTAGGTTAAAGATGATGAGCCTTCATTTGTATAGAACCCCTCGTATTCATAGCTTATTTTTGAGAAAGTTGTGTTTTTTAATTACAGGCTATCAGGTTGTCAGATTACAGAGGAAGGGTGTGCGTCACTGATCTCAGCTCTAAGCGCCAACCCCTGTCACCTGACCGAGCTGGACCTCAGCTACAATGACCTTGGAGAAAGTTCTGCTGGCCTAAAGTCCACCAGACTGGAAACTCTGAGGTATTTTCAGACACCAATTTGATGAGTCGAGTCGTGGAGTTAGCCACAAAGATGGAGAGGAGGCGAGGAACAGCAGGAAGACTTGTTGAAGGTCATTGTACACCTTTTCTGGTTAATTGTTTATTTCCATTTTCCTGAAGGGTGGACCACAGTGGAGAGCAATGGTTAACACCTAGTCTACGGAAATGTAAGTTATGATGAAATAATCAATTTCATACACAAAAAACCCCCAAAAAACTTCATTTGTTTCTCTCCATCAGACTTCTGTGAACTTTTGTTTGACACAAACACGATAAACACGAACCTGAAGCTGTCCGACGACCAGCGGACGGTGACGGTGTTGGAGGAGGAGCAGCCGTATCCAGACCACGGAGACAGATTCAGTTGGTGGCAGCTAATGTGCAGAAACGGGATGACTGGTTGCTCCTACTGGGAGGTGGAGTGGAAGGGAAGGGTTCATATTTCCGTCAGTTACAGAAGTATCAAGAGGAGAGGATTCAGAACCGACTGCAGGTTTGGAGAGAACGATAAGTCCTGGAGTTTGAGCTGCTCTGATACTGTTGGGTACTCCGTCTGGCACAACAACACCGTTACGACCATCTCCTTTTCCTCGCCATCATCCTCCACGGTGTCCAACAGAATCGCTGTCCATTTGGACTATCCAGCTGGATCTCTGTCCTACTATAAAGTTTGCTCCGGCAGGCTTATCCACCTACACACTGTAAACACCACATTCAAAGAACCAGTTTATCCTGGATTCGGGTTCTGGTCTTATGGTTCCACATTGAAACTCTGTTCTTATGAAAACTGCAAGTCTTTGGAAGCAGCTTTGAGTGTAAACTGAAGTGTTAGATTATGAATATCTATATAAATGTGTCATATTAGTTATACCATGTTTGACTTTTGCTAAAATGTAAAACTAATTATAGATTGTTACATATAGAATACTGAAGATTTTATAGCATGCACTGCTTGATGTTTACCAACCTGCATATAGGAAAGGTTTGTTCAATTAACCACATTATCTTTCGGCTGTTACTGAAAATGGTTGCTGAAATGCAATATGTTTACTTCCATTAGCATGTTAGCTAACACGTACTACCTTTGTAATATACTTATTTAAACATCGGCAAAGATGTGTGAATATTGCTATGTGTAATGACGACTGTTTCTAGTTTGATAGAGTATTAAAACCTGCTATTTTCTAACTTCTCCCACTTAGAAGTCATGGAGGATATTGTCGTTGTAGGTGCGTGTCCACTGTGAGAGACACAATCTAAGAAAAAAGAAAATCGATACATATCCAGCTGTAATTTAGTTCATAACACTAGTTATCTATATATTATATTCATTTATTAGTAAGATTCTGTTTATAATGGTATTCATCTCTATACTTATTGAGTAGAACCCATGTCCTGTATTTATTGAACCATTATTTATCCTGCACTTGCTGCTATTGCACTTCTGGTTAGACCTAAACTGCATTTCGTTGCCTTGTACCTGCTGTACCTGTGCAATGACAATAAAGTTGAATCTAATCTGATCTAATCTAATCTTCCGAGTTTTTTTCCTTGGTTTGTCAGACTGGTCCCATTGTCCTCCTTTGTTTCTGCTGCAGTCTGGTCCAAGCTGAGTTCTTCCTCCCAGATCTCTTCACTACTCCTTCCTCAAGCGGTAATCAAGAGCTTATCCTTCAGACGCTACCATCATTCTGTTCACCCTGCATTGACTCTAGCACAACTAAACTCCCACAATCCTCAATCAGCCACTCAGTAAACCTAAAGACCCACCTCCATCGAGAGGGGTCTGGCTGCAGACCTGCACTGTCAGGACCAAGAGCTGCACTGTCAGGACCAGGAGCTGCACTGTCA